TCGTATGTGCGTGATTCAATCTGGATCATTCGTGCGCGATGCAATCTGGGCCGTCCATGCGCGTTTTTGATTGGGTTGTCCGTGCGCGCGGGAACAGATCTTAGCCGTTCGATCGCGCGCACGCATATTCCCACCACGTGGCTCTCCTCCGCGTGGCCTCCCACGTCAGCGTCTCTGCCACGTGACGCGTCCTGGTTGGTTGGGGCTGCTGACTGGGCAGTTAACGTGGCGTAACTTTTTTAAATTATATTTTGACCCCCAGTTTTTGATTTTGCTTTTAAAAATACTCCAAGAACTCAAATTTTTACCCATTTTCTCCAAAATTATTTTCAATTAAATTCCTAACTAATTTTTTACCCTTTTTATTATTATTATTATTATTAAATCAAATTAAAATTAAATAAATTAAATTAAAATTATATAAATAATAATTATATTTATATATAAAAGAAAATAATAATAATAATTAAAAAAGAAAAAAGAAAGGTTGGGTGTTATATATTTCATCTTACTTAAGTCAACTATATGAGATTTTTACTATTTTTTACAAAAAAGTTAGTTACTTTGTGTTTAATTCATCATACTATTATTTTTTTTTTCACAAAAATTTTTTTTAAAAGATTTTCATTTTCAAAACTCAAGAAAATAAAAGAAAAAGTTTTAAATACATTTTCTTAATAGAATTGATTTACAAATGAAAACTTATTATCGAAATTTAAAGGTGACTCAATAAAAAAATTTAAAACTTTTATTTTATTTTAAATTTTTTTTTCAAAAGTTATTTATAAAATTTTTACTCTAAGTTAATAGCATTAGTGTTATTACACTTAATGAAAATATTTTTTATTTTAATTTCAAAATCTGAAAGTTGTTATCTTATCTATAGAATTCGAGCACAATAACTTCTGGTTGTAACATATTCGGACTTCGTTGTTGATAAGATAACTAAATTTTATTTATTGAAAAATTAACACACAAGTTTGTTTCCTAAGAATTGATATATTTCACTATTACTTTTTCTATTAATTTTATAACTCTAAAATTGAATTTTAAACCATACTAAAAAGAAAGAAATGAAAGAAATTTATTAACACAACAAGTTACGGACGATCTCAAAATTGTCAAATTTTAAACCAATCAGAAGTAAAAACGTTCTGTTCCCTTGTCCTCCTCAGTTGTAGGATATCAAAGATACCGCTTGTTTGGCGACATCTCCCAACCTATGCGAATAAACTAGATCCCCTCCCACTGTGCCACTCTCTTCGGTTTATCCGCCTTAACATGTACAAACACAATCCCAAATCTCAATAAGAACTCTCTAGCTCTCGTCTCTGTAACTCATAATTTGGAATTATCCCCTCCAGAAACCACATTTCTCGATCATCATGTCGCAGTCTCTCCAGCTTTTTACTACTTATCGGTCACTGAAGATCACTATCCCACAAAGACGCTCCTACTCTCTTCCCGCAACCTCCTATCGTCAGTCCACAGTCACCCTACCCAAGCGCACTACCCTCGCCATCAAAGCCTCCTCCTCCTCGCCACCACCGGAGCTCGACTCTTCGTCCCAAATACTGCTCTCCGACAACGGTAAAGGCCGGAAGGCGGAGGAGGCGTTAGCCACGTCAGCAACGCCTACGGTCGTGTCGGCGATTGAGGTGGATACGGTCACGGAGGCGGAGTTGAAGGAGAATGGATTCAGGAGCACGAGAAGGACGAAGCTGGTGTGCACTATCGGGCCCGCCACGTGCGGGTTCGAGCAGCTGGAAGCGCTTGCCGTGGGCGGTATGAACGTGGCCCGCATTAACATGTGCCATGGTACCCGCGAGTGGCACCGTGCCGTTATCCAGCGAGTCCGTAGGCTCAATGAAGAGAAGGGCTACGCCGTCGCCATCATGATGGACACTGAAGGCAGCGAGATCCACATGGGCGACCTAGGTGGCGCTCCTTCTGCTAAAGCTGAGGTCATTTTTCTCTTTCCCCTTTCCTCTCTTTTTCTTGTGTATATTGCATTAAACTTTAGATCATATATTTTGTTTGTGCTTTTGTCCTTAAAAATTAGGATTATCTTGTTTTTTGGATTATCTTCTTACTCCTCATTGTTTTATCATTTAAGAAGCTATATGTAGCATCTGAAATTTGATATTTTGTATTTTATTGTGATACGATAATTATTTCTAGTTGTAGGATAAACTGTAATGATAATTTTGTATGTTGGATATCTGTCTCCACGCCAAGCTAAATAATGCTTCGTGGCCAATGAAAGTGAATTTATTGTGGTAAGTTGCTCTGCATATGCAGGATGGTGAGATCTGGACATTTAGCGTTAGAGCTTTTGATTCTTCACGCCCAGAACGCACCATCAATGTGAATTATGATGGTTTTGCTGAAGGTAATACTCTCAGAGTTGTGATTTGGTTATCAATAAATAATCCAAAATGGGCATGTCTTGTTTCCCTTTTTAGTTAAGAAAGTTTAACTGCATATAAATAACACTAGGCTATTTTTGGAACAAATTGGAGTTCATTTAGAAATTCAAGATTAATTTAAATTAGTAGATGATGAAAATCTCATCCAAAATGACAAAATTGATGTCCTAGGGAATTTCAAATAGAATTAGAATAATGCGTTTTAATGTTCTACTTAGAATTTCCTGTGAGTTCAATTTCCATTATCATCTATCGAAATTTATCCTCGTAGTTGAACTAAGGGTGATTTTCCAAACTCATGAAAAAATTGATTCTCACATACTTCTCTATACATTGTGATTAAAATCATTGTTGGCTAGAAAATTAATCATCAAATGAATGTAATCACTTTAAGTATAACATATAGGAAATTGTCTCCACACACATTTACATATCTGATAATTCAATCAGTGTTCAAGCCAGTTAAAATTTGTGTTAAATGAGTAATATAGTTCTTTTTTGAAAGAAAAAAGAGAACGTTAAAAGGCATCAAAGAGGTGCCCACGAACAAAATAATTATGAGAGACAAGGGACCAGAAAATCTACAAGGTTCCCCAATGGTAACATATCTTTATTTTATCAGAAATATGATCTGCGGGTCTAATGTGGAGATTGAAAGACTGCATAGTCTAAAAGATGTACTCGAAAGTGCAGGCCCATATTTAAGAAATTTATAACATACAGGCTACCATATGTAACTCATCCCAGAACAACTGTTTCTGATGCATCTTGAACATGTTTGGCTCCACAGAACTGTTTTCTGAAACATGGTGTAATTTATAGAACCTCTTTTTATTTTTTCTGGTGCTTTGAATGAGTTAATGTAGAAGAATATAAGATAATGTGAGAAAAATATTTTGAAAGAACATATATTCAAGTGTATGGACGTCTAAATTGAAGGATAGTCGAGTATGATGACTGACAACTGTCCAAGCAATTTTTTTCTCTTAACAGAAAACTATTTGTCTCCTTTGTTTTCCAGGATGTCTTCGAGAATGGAAACAAAAGACAAATCTAAATATGCCCTGTGTCATTATTATCGTGCTTGTGTTGTTTTCTTTTGTTTACTTCTTTGTACTGATTCTAATTTTGGTCTGATCTAGATGTAAAAGTTGGGGATGAACTCTTGGTGGATGGTGGGATGGTGAGGTTTGAGGTGATTGAGAAGATAGGTCCTGATGTCAAGTGTCGATGTACTGATCCTGGATTGTTGCTTCCCCGAGCAAATTTGACTTTCTGGAGAGATGGAAGTCTTGTACGAGAACGTAATGCCATGCTTCCCACAATTTCTTCCAAGGTTGGTTCTCTGTCTTCTTGTTTGACTTCTCCTTTCAACATGTGGTTGACACGAGTGAATGAAAGTGAAAAAAGAGATTTTTTGCTTATGAAATATCTGAATTTCTATTGAAAAAAATTATATATCTGAATTTCTGAACTGGACTATAACCTGGAGGACCATTTAAATATCTATATTGTCTTGAGTGCTAGAAGCCATATCGTGATGAGGAAAAGCAACAGATTGGCTGTAATATGATATTGATCTCTAACCGGCTGTTATTCGATAATAACTTTTTGACTACTGTATTCTCTTTCCTTTTTTTTTTGCCAAGTACGAAAGTCATTCTGTTCTTTCTTCTTTTTCCTTGCCCGTTAAAGAGTGTTACTCTCCTCATTATCACTGTTGACATACTTTATATCCACGAAAGGAGTAAGTTGTTTATAGTTTCTCAAATGAACACGGGAAACA